TATTTTACTCTTAAATAAAATCTGAGTGCCATGCCTGAATTTCCATCAATAAATTAAAGATCTACGAAATGTGATACCATCTTTTCTAAATCAACTGAGAAATCCCTGTTAAATCATTTAAAAAGAAAAACAGTTATCAATACACAAATCAGATCCATAGCATAACAATAATCTTACACCGGTGTTTTAAAATTATCAATGTGTATACAGAAATGAACAACCATATTGGTCTAGAAATGTTAATTTATTTTTTTTTTTTTCCATGTGTACAGGGGTAACACATCGTACTAAATATGTAAGGTCATATCTACGTGGGTTTGATTACAGAAACTAATAAAGTATTCTCTAAATAATGAAAAAAGAATAAGATAAGACTATAAGAGTGAGAAGCAATTTAAATATGTTCAGGGACCATTTTCATCTCCAGAATTAAGGATTATTTTGATGTTACATCATTGCCTTTTCTCTTTTACTTTCCTTTTTAGTTTTATTTTAGGATTCCCTATTTTTAATGTTCATACAGAGATTTCTTTAACTGAAATACCGAATAGTTTCTTTGGTGTGAAAAACTATAATAGTACACAGGATCCTAATGAGATAATTAATAATGTGAAATAGGAAGTAAAGGGCTAAAGCTGTAGGGAAAGTGGGAAGGGTGGGGGAAAGGTAATAAGGGAGAGGAAAAAAATATGAGAAACTGAAAAAATGGAAATAAAGTGTTTGTAAATGGGGAGGGTAGGAGGGGGTGAAGGGAGGGCAGGGACAAGGGGAAAAATGACAATCAAGACCTATTATGTAAAGGTACAGAATCCCAATGATGAATGAAACTGTATTGCATACCTAGATTGTACCAATAACCTCAACAAAAAGAAAAAAAAATAAAATTATCAATGTGTTTTCATGTTTATCTTATTTAGACTAATGTCAACATAGGACATGTTCACAGCTCATGCACTAAAAGCATTTATTTGATGTTGAAGAAAGTAGTCCAGATGAAAATATTACCTTGATAAAGACTGTGCACAATAGCAATAAAGATTAGCCTGACATTATTTTTCAACTGTAGTAAACTTGCTACAATTTAAGTCTACTTCTGAGTCTTCTCTGGAGGGCATAAAGCAATTGCTTAAAAGTAGACTCATCATTAACTCTTCAAGAATTTCACTCAATACCTATTTACTTCCCCCACCTCCAGTCTAGGGGTTGAACCCAGGACCTTTACACTGAGGTATACCTCCAGCCCTTTTTTATTTTGGGATGGGTCAAAGTTGGCCAGACTTGGATTGAACATGTGGTTCTTCTGCTTCAGTCTCCCAGAGTGCTGGGATTATAGGAAAGAGCCATCACATTTAGCTCCTACCCGCCTTTTTTTCCTTCTCAATACTGGGAATTGAACTCAGAACCTTGCACCTGCGAGGCAGGCATGGTGCCACTGAGCTAAATCCCTGGCCCAGAGGTATTTATTAGGCAGAATTTTATTGATTTTTTTTGGGGGGGGGTCAAACTCAGGACCTTGAGCTTGCCAGGCAGGTGTGGCACCACAGAGCCACATCCCCTACCCTCCTTTTCCTCTTTTTGAGGTCAAAGATGTTACTTATTTTCCTCCTTGGTCCTATTGTCTGCACCTCTTAGATGCATTTTATTATCTTGGGATGCTTTGGCCAAAAATGTGTAAAATGAAACCAAACGATAGTCTACCGACAGTCTACCGCAGTTCTTCACAGTGCTAACTGTTCCAAAGCAGAGAGATGATGCCTGGTCTCTCTTACACATGGGTGGCAACTTCTACTGCAGAGCACATGAAAGAACCCGTGCTTGCTGTAATTAGCTCATTAAGATAAATACAGTAATCCTCTGCTTCAGAAATATGGCAGCTACTTATTCAAGAATTGTCACTTAATATAAACAGTCAGTTATTCAAATAATCAGCCTGTGTTTATAATATCAACTCAAATAAGCAAACAAGTATATTACTTCTAATTCAGTGGTAAGGACGGGGCACCATTTACTTCACTGATCTAGGATCCATACCACCAATCAGAAAGTTACTTCAATATTTCATAAATCTGCTTTTACTCCTGGCCTGCTGCCCCAGTGCCCAGCCCCTTACTCACCTGTGCGATCTGGATGGGCTGCGACAGGGGGATCTGCGTCATGGGCGTGGCGGCGGAGGCTGAGATGGTGGCCCCAGCAGCGCTGTGCTGCTGGCTGGCAGAGTGCTGCTGCACCGCAGCTGCCAGCAGCTGTGCCTGTGCTTGTGCCTGCTGTAGTAGCAACTGCTGCTGGGCTGGTGTCAACGTGAGCTAAACAAAATGAGAACACACGACGGGAAGGCTGCGTGAGCAGGGCATGTGATGCAAGTCCGCTGCTTTGAAACAGGTAACTCAAGTGGTGGTAGGCCCTAGCTACCCAACCTCACGGGTCAGCCTCAGCTAAGATGCTCATCAGTGATCAGATTACCATTCCTAGCAGAACTCTGAAATTAAAGTGGTAGCCCTTACACCGGACTTAATCATTCAAGCTTGTCCAGACTCCTAGGGTTCAGGCAAAATAGGTAATTAACTAGTAAGCAAGGGCGGGGGAAGGAATCAATGCTGACAGGATATGAAAAGAAATTTACACCCAACAAAACATCAAGAGATTTAGTCAGATGAATGAGGAATAAGGACGCTGGATATGACCATGAAAAGAACTGATAAGGCCCAGCTGCTTCCCATTAGCACGAACCCCTACCATATTCCATCATTTCCATTATGCCCTAAGATGTGACTAAAGAATATGAGCTCCATTTGTTTCTTTTCCAAGTCTCCCAACAGGCCCCTCCCTGACGCAATCTTTTCTGTTACGGAAAGCATTGAGTCTCTGCAACTTTACATCCCCTTTCCAACACGTTATCTCTATGGAACAGGTGGTGACAGCCATTCTCTTTACATGCAAATGAAGCTTAAGGTCCAGGTTTAAAGGCAGCTTCACCCCACAGGAACCTGGAATCCCAAGAGCCTCTCATTATCATAGACCCTGGTCACCAAAAATAAAACCCAAAGAGTAAAATGGGAAAAGTATTTAGAGAAGATTTAAACTTGCTTTCATAATGAACTTATTCATAATATGCTTAAATCAATGTAGTGTGCTGAACCTTCCTTTTGTTGACATGTTCTGATCAAACAAGAAAGAACTGAAATATTCGAGGTGTGTAAATTGTTACCTAGTAGCACAACCCGCCTTCTAAAAGGGCCCGAATATAATCTGTGCATTAGAACCACAGCGGAAAATTAAGCTGTTAACAAACTCAATGCCTTTCAAGATGTGTATGTATATATTTTTATTTTATATAATACAGATGCATATATTATTCTCTATTGATGGGATTTTTGTAATCAATTTTGCAATTGTTCTTAAAAGAGCCTTTCACTAAACGGGTGTGGTGGCGCACGCCTGTAATCCCAGCATTGAGGCTGAGGCAGAAGAATAGCTGTGAGTTCGAGGCCAGCCTGGACTATATTATATAGAGAGACTAAAAAAAAAAAAAAAAAAAAAAAAAAAAAAAAAAAAAAAAGAGCTTTTCAGTGCCAGAAAATAAGCCTGAGGAGGACTGCTGTAATATGAGTTGAATTAAAAAAAAATCTATCTTACCATTCCTCTCCCTCCAGATAATTTAAGATACACTTTCAACACTGGAAAAAATCCTCTGAATTACGTCTTAGAACAAAGGTAGCCGAAAAGTTAAAAGCTTTATGTAATCTCAGGCCAATTTGTTGCTAGTAAAAGTAAATAACCTTATTGGATGCTTGGTGCCCAATATTGCTGTATGAACTTTACATATAGTATCTCTAATCTCTGCAACAGTACTTGAGATAGGTTTACTAATATCTCCATTAACAGAAGGAAAACTGAGGCACAGAGAGATGAATTAATTAAAACACGCAGTGAGTGGCAAGGCCAGGATGTGAGATGACAGGTTTTATTCTAGAATCTACTCTATCCTATCCTGCAATGATGGCATAACTTCAAACTGAAAACTGCCATTTCATCAACATACTGTAATGGTTTCAAACATGTAACGACTCCACAGCATGATGAAGTAACCCCTGAAACACGGGTTTGAAAAGGTCTTACTCTATTCAGAGCATCTGCAACTGTAACAAAAGAAATCTAAATACTAATGACAAAGAGATGTCTAGAGTGTAGGACAATAGTGCCATGTTACTGTCAGCTCTAGTCAGTGGTTGTAATCAGGTATCAGCCAAGGACAGTTTTCATGGGAAGAAGTTTATTGCAGTTTTCTCAGTGAAAACTTACCCCAGTTATCTGTCCTCCAGCCAGCATAAGCTGAGTCTGGGGAATGGCTGTCTGCACTGAAGGCTGCTGGGAAGGCTGGTTCGGCTGCTGTGAATCCCCCGATTCTTCATTAGATTTAGCCTGAGGTGGAGCGGGGGAGGAAAAAAGGATTTCCAACAGTGAAAAGACTAAATATATTATAACTATATTTTAAGAATCATTTAAACCATGCGCTATTCAAATCCAGAGTTTTCTGATTTGTTTTTCTTCCTTTCTTAGAAGGCTATATCTTCCAAATTTTATCCTGCAAAGTTCTAAAAGTTTTTATTCCAGTGCCAGCAAACCAACAGAGTTGTTTTTTTTTTTTTTTTACAACCTCAAATCCTTAACTCTGAAAATAAGAAGGAAAGAACACATTTTAAATTCATTTCTGTACCAGGAGCTCCATACCAACATTCTCACATAGACCTGGTGGTCAATCTGAAGCTTCTTCATTCATATAACACCTCAGAGACTGACTGCTTGATTCACAGAACTCTTCATCTCTTATTTTAAAGAACTGTAAATCTAGCTAGTATCTTTCATCAAGTAACACGGGCTTGAGAGAAAATACTGCAGTCAAGAAAGAGAACACACTCCTAAAAGGGGCATAAAGAGAAAATTTTATGGTAATTAAAAATGGTTATGCAGAACATTAAAATTCTGCATAGATTTGCATATTTCCCACCACCTGTTTTGGGGACTGCAGCAAGGCTAATTAACATAAAAGCTCTGATTAATTCTGCCAGTCATTGAAAGATAATTACAGTGCAGGATTGTAAACATTCTGCACTGGAGATACAGCCTGTTTGCCAACATCTCTCTAAGGGATGAAAGCTTACCATGGCAACCAAGGTAATTTTCCGCCTCTTCTCCCTCAGAAAGGAAGACCACATTATCTCCTTTTCTTTTCCCTCCTTGTTTCCATGTGTTACTAGGACCGTATTCCACTGGGTTTCGTGGAATGCCCAACCCAAGGTCTTTAGTCATTAGCAACACTGGAATCAATCTTCCAGAATACTGTTTTTCCTTCTTGACTGTTAGTCACCTACACACTATAATGAAAGGAAGCAGCATGTTGACTGAAATGCTATGGAGTAACACATAATACTTAAACTTTGCCTGTTTTGCCATATGGTTCATAGAAGCAAAATATGTACCAGATTTAAGTTTTGTTTTAAATTTTCACCATCTTTTGGTAATGTCTACAAACAGGATTACTAACAATCTTAGAAGCACAACATTTTAGAGCAGAGGAGAACTCTGGCAATCTTATGTATGTCCCCACTTAAATACAAACAAGAAAATCTGAGCTCCAAGAGTTTAAGTGACTCGCCCAAGGTCACATAACTACTTAGTGGCAGAATGAGAATTCAAACCTAAGAACCTCATACTTCTCAGACCAGTGTTCTTTCCTCTGAACTATATTTTTTTTCTTTTTATTGAGTTTATTGGTACATTCTAGGAATACAATACAGTTACATTCATTACTGGGATCTTGTACCTTTACATGACAGGTCTTGGTTCTCATTTTTTCCCCCTTGTCCCTGCCCTCCCTTCATCCCCTCTTCCCCTCCCCTCCCCATTTACAAACACTTTATTTCCATTTTTTTCATTTTCTATTATTTTTTCTTTTCCCTTATTCCCTTTCTCCTACCCTTCGCATTTTCCCTACACCTTTAGCCCTTTTCTTCCTATTTCACACTGTTAATTATCCCATTAGGATCTGTGTACTATTAGTTTTTCACACCAGAGAAACTATTTGGTATTTACACATGTTCCTCTGAACTATAATGCTTCCCCTAAGACTGAAAAGTGACACGTAATGAGATCTTTGCAAAAGAAAGAGCATTTAAGAAATTATTTGACTTTTAAAAAGTTACATAATTTAGCTGTGTAACTTAGAATTGTTCTAGTGAACTTACATATCAAACTTTAAAAATAAACTTTTCTTATAAACCTCTGGAGTTAATTTTCAGTAGCAGAATACAAAACTGATTTTCAGTAATGGCAATAATTACTATTTTCATCTTTATGAGATACAGTAATAAAAATATAAATATTAATAAAATAATAAATAGTAATCTAAGAATTTCCTAGTATAAAATTGTTTTGTGCCCAGTAGAGAAAACTATGGAAAAAAAGGACATTTTGACCCATAATTCCATGCTCTAGCTTACCTGTACATTTAAAGACTGAGCAGCAGCCTGTAAACTTGTTCCAGCGAGCTGGACCTGTAGGCGAAGTAATCAGTAAACTAGTTTAATAGTGTTGACATTTGTCACTAGAATTTGTTATTAAACAAATACTGCAAAAATCTCTACTAAGTATATGTTACTGAGTAGAACTAAAAATTTAAAGGTCTGTGTTTGAACTTTAAGGACAAATGCATGGTGTCTTTCCCATCTTAAAAAATGCTAAAGGTGTTTTCCTACACTCAATGCACATCACTGAGGCAGCCACACTTGCGATCTTCCACATTATTTAACATTCTTGTCTGTATTCATAAGGTGCTTAGATTTTAAAAACTTTATCTATCCTCCATTTCATGCTAAAGGACACACTGGAACAAGTAACCTCTGTATATTATTTTTATCATTTCAAACAATCAGAACTATCTCATTTTAATATTTCTGTGATGTACCAGAGTAACAATCTTATATAGAAACACACCTATACAAGAATTCCTTAAAACATTTAGTTTTAACTTAAAACTCATCACTAAAATGAAAAATCTGTCCCATGAACCACATGTGAAAGTTTATTGCAATATTTAATATTCATGTCATACATTTAGAAAGTTCAAGTCATGGTTATGTTAAACTAAGGAGGCACATGGACTTGGGAACTATCATTTGGAAAACATAATAATCACTGACTCAGACAAGTCACCAATAGACGATCTCCCTACTGGGAAAAATACATTTACATATTCTTGACTATTCTTGCACAGATACTACTACAAATGGTAAAACAGTAACTTTACAGAGGGGGAAACCGGCAGACAAGTGATGAACTGAGCACAGTCAGAGGCTCCAGTAATGAGACACATGCCTTCTGCTGTAACACAGTGTGAAGAACATGCTACGAAGTCATTTCTGTTGTGTTACTATTATGAGTGGACAATCTGATTCTAACCATGGGTTTACTAGCAGACGAACCCAAATTGGGGAACACCACAAAGTAACTGCTTTGTACTATTAAAAAATGTCAATGTCCTGGAAACAAAGAAAAACCAAGAATGGAGAAAGAGACTATCAACTAGGCTAGAACAAATGGAAGCCTAAATTAGCCTGGGAGCAGTGGGAATAAAAAGTAGGGAGCATGAAAGGTATTGGAAAATACAACATGAGGATTCATGAGGATTGTGGGAACTGATGAATCAGATGAAAAAAATCAGCCATGAATTATTCCAGGATGCTAATCTGAGAGACAGGGAAAATGGTGACGCCACCTATGAGGAACATAACGAGTTCCATTTCGAATATATATCATATAGCAGCAAGATGTTCTGAGGTTAAATATAGAGCAATCAGGAGAGGCCAATCTAAAGCGATAATGTTTAAATTAAGACTTAAAGATAGCCAGTGGAGTTTCAGGTACAAAGATGTAAAGGAAATAAAGTTTACGCAATTTTATTTATTTAAATAATGACATTCCTGGGTAAAAGCTTTGGAGAAGTGGATACTTACACAGTCTTAAAAGGGTAACAGAAGCAAGGACAAAAACCACATGATCATCTCAACAGATGAAGAAAAAGCATTTGACAAAGTCCAATATCTATTCATGATAAAAACCTTTCAGAAAATTAGAAGAGATGGTCTCTATCTCAATGTGATAAAAGTCACCTATGACAAACCAATAGCCAACATCATACTAAATGGTGAAAAACTGAAAGCTTTCACTCTAAAATCAGGAACAAGACAAGGATGTCCACCATCACTATTCTTATTCAATATAGTTCCGGAAACATTAGCAACAGCAATGAGAGAAGAGAAAGAAACAAAAGGAATGTGGATAGGAAAGGAGGAAGTTAAATTATCGTTATTTGCAGATGACATTATACTCTACATAGAAGACCCCAAAAACTTCACCAAAAGACTTCTAGATTTAATAACCAAATTCAGTACCATAGCAGGATACAAACTCAACAATCAAAAATCAATAGCTTTCCTGTACACAAATAACAAACTCACTGAGAGGGAAATTAGGGAACCCACACCTTTCACAATGGCATGCCAAAACAAACAAACAAACAAACAAAAATGCTTAGGAATCAACCTAACAAAGGAAGACTTTTACAGTCTTAATGGGAAAAAACTATCTTTACAATGGATAAATCTGATAAACACCACCTTAATCAAGTAATCAAACAGTATCACAATAATGGGATAAGGAAATAGTGCACACCTTCTGATACAATGCATTGAACTAAACTCAACATCATTTCCATGGTATTTCTTTTGAGAACATTCAACTTGAGTGAGATCATGAGGGAATGATCAAACACAGTTGGGGGCATTCTATAAAATACTTGGCTTCTACACTTCAAAACTGTCAGCATCATGAAAGATAAAGTTAGGCTGAGGAACTGCTGTGGAATCAGGAAGACTGAACAGACTTGATAACTAAGCATAGGGCATGGACGGAGCGAACATTTACATATTGACTATAATCTAACATCGATGTTACATTTCTAGAATTTGAAATGTTTACTGTAGTTATATAAAAGAATGTTGTTTTTCTGAAAAATAAGCCAAGGTGTTTATAAGTAAATGATCATACTACCTGCAACTTACTTTCTAATGAGCTAGCAATAAAATAATTTTCTGTGTATACATATACTCACAGATAAAGCAAATAGGATAAAATAGTAATACTGCAATTTTAGACACTGTTCTACTGTTGCAATAATTCTGTAATTTAGAAGTTTTCAAAACAGAAAGTTTTAAAATAAAAAATGAGAGCATCCCTTTACCACTCTATTTATCTAGTTTGTAATATACTTCAAAGACTCAGCTACAAAACTACCCTGTATACATACTATGGGGTTACAATACTGAGCTAATCATTGTCTTCCTCTATATTTCCAATTATTGTATCATTTATTCACCTATTCAATTCATAATCACCAAACATTTCTTATATGTTGTGCTCTTTGGTATATGTTAGTGGTATGGGTAAACAAAAAAAAGGTCCCTGTCTTCATGGAGTGCAGAGTTAATAGGGCAACAGACCTAAACTAACTGATTGCATAAGTACATGCATATTTATAATGATAGTATGGAAAAGTTCGATGTGCTAACAAGTGGGCTGGAAAAAGTTGTCACACTGCATGTTAAGTATGTTTCTAATCGGATGGTAGATAATTATGCATAGATTTCTGTCTTGTTAAGGGATTCAAAAGTTTCAAGGTCTCAAATAAATTCTTTGGGTTTCAATCCTTTGGTGTAGGTGACACTGGAGGGTTATGATTGTGGTATTACTGGCTGGACCTAGAGGCCTTGAAGCTGGTGCAAGAGCTCTTGGAATATGGACAAAGTGAGAAGAAAGCATATCATTTATGTACCTTCTGGGATTTTTAATACATTAAGATCATGTTACGTTTTGGATCTTAAAAGTCCTCCAAACATTCCTGTGTTGAAAGCCTTGGTCCTTCACTGATGGCATTGCTAGGAGGTAGAGGAACCTGTAGGAGATGTGACCTCACAGAAGGGAAATGCATTTGAAGGGCTACTGGACCCTCAGCCCCTTCCTCCTCTTCTTTGTACCTTGATCACCATAAGGTGAACAGCTTTGTTCCATCAGATGATCCCTATTCATGATGTTCCACCTCAACACAGGCCCAAGTGATCATGGCCATGAACACCCTGAAATTATGAGCCAAAATAAGTCTTCCTCCTTTTAGGTGATTTTCTCAGGTATTTTGTCACAGCCAATGGAAAACTAACAGACTTACCACATATTTAAGCCAGTTAAAAGATGTTGTATCATGCAGTTGCCTAAACTCTACCTTTTAATAAACAAGAAAACTTATTTGAAAATTTGAATACGTTCTTACAAGGAAATAAGCAAAACAACATTTTTGTTTTTCTAGAGTATATTAAAACATATTCCTCAGTTAATTTCAGATACTAATTCCTCTTAACAATTTAATTAGAAGTTTCTCTATTTCTAAGATAGAGTAGATTCCCTCGCCAACAGGTATTACATTTGAAGAACTGCCCCATCACTTGAAACCACAGAGTATCAAACTATACAGACTATATCATTTCCTATACATAGATCCCTATGATAAAGTTTAATTCACGAATTAGGCACAATGAAATATTAGCAACAATAATAATATGCCTTTGACTCTGCAGACAATAAAAAAGCCTTAGAATAGCTTTCTAGAATTTCACCTGTTTTCCAGTAGAGAAGCTTATTTTCAGGTGGTCTGATGAGTATTTTGATTAAAAGAGTAGAGTAGCATAAAATTCATTCACAGCAACTTAATATTTTAACAGCTCCCTTAAGTCCATATGGGGCTTGCACCAGACCACCACCATCATTAGGTACCATCACTAGTGTCTCTCCTGCTAATGCTGCTCAGCACTAAATGAGTTCAGTTTTAAATGAGGCAGGCCTTTAAAATGTGCGATGCGCTGCCCTAAGACTTAATTGCAAACATAAGTCAAGAGGCTGAGACACTTTGATAATCCATCTTCCAACTTGTTTTCACTGTTTGCTTTCCATTTCGATTAAGTAACTTTTATTTATTTTTATTAGTAAATGTTTGCAATATATAATGATTACATTTATCATGGGGAGTTGGTACATACTGCCTTTTTAAAATTTTGGTATCGGGGATAGAACTCGGGACCTTACGCTTGCGAGGCAGGCGGTGGCACCACTGAGCTAAATCCCAGATGCTTTCTATTTTCAATAAACTACCATATTCCAAAATTCTTGAGTAGCGAATTTGTTGTGTTCCCTTTCCCTCTACATTATAGCTAAAACATGAATAAAGAGAATCCACATTCTTTTTTAGGCTTAGGAAAAAAAAATCATATGGTATCAGAGTAATAAAGTTGAGGTAAGCATTTTTAATCTCAAATTGGGGGTTTATAGTGAAGCAAAAATCAAAATGATCTGATACTGTTTAAAGGAGGGATGTGACCTTTTAGCTCACAGCCTCCCACAGCAGGTCTCAGGCAGTGACAACTATCTAGATACTCTGTTCAATAAGAAATTCTCTTTTTTTCTCCACATAGCTATGGGGTCAGTGGTTATACAGTCAACTAAACTGTAATGATTCTATATTAACCATCCAAAATGGCACCAAATGATGGTGGCAATTCGCACTAGGTATTAAATACTTTTTTTTTGAGGTGGGGGGTACCAGGGATCAAACTTGGGACCTTGAACTTGCCAGACACATGGCGGTGGAACCAACTGAGCTAAATCCCCAGCTTGGTTTGAAGTAATTTTTAAAAATCTTGCATTCTGAAATAACTTCCCCAAGCCCCAGAAAGTTGTCCTGGTCTTTTATTCCACTGTATACTGGAACAGAGTGTTCTACCTGATGGAGATGTCCAAGGAAAGCTTGGGCCTGGGCTGTTGAGATTGCTCCTCCAACAGGCACAGGCTGCTTCTGAAAGTCCAGACCATTGGTTTGCGTGCCTGGAAAGCAAGCAAAATAATTTTAACTACTGAAATAAACCCTAAAGAAATAAAGTATCAGACATCAGTTGCAATATTCATTAGGAGCCTATTTTCCATAAGCACTTTTCTAAATACCTCCAAGGAGAAGGGATTCAAAAGAAAACAAAATGAAAGAGTTCTCTTCAAAAGGTAGGACTGCAGGAAAAGCATATAATGCTGATAAAGCTTTATGAACAGAAATAAAAACATAAATAATGAGTCACAATCATAAGGTAGTGTTGGAGAACTCAGGTACAGATGCAGTGACTGGGTTTGAAACAGGTATGGAACTTAAGATGGCTTTAAGTAAGAAATCATTTTCATTGCTGGAATGCACTGCAGAGGCAGAGTTCTGAAAAGTTACAAGGAGCACTTGCTTCCTTCTTATTCGGCTTGAGATTTGGCTGGGATAGAAATTACTGGTCATTTTACCAAAAGCAAGAAAGGTTTACTATTCACTTAAACACTTCAAGGAAGAACAATTTGATGGCAAAAGCTTATATGATAAGCATAAAAGCCAAAAATTAAATATGTGTACTGTTTCCTAAGTACGGTTTGCTACATGTATCTTATTAGCAAGGACTCTGCTATATTTTTCAAAATGTTACACCAAGTGCTTTTTAACCACCTATGCTATGATTTGATGTTGGAATACAACTGATTTATGGAAAGACATGGCACCTTACCACCCAGACATACTGCCTAAGGGACAAAAGGCGGTAGAATAGAAGAGAAAGATAGGTAGAAATGAGACAAAGAAATTTTAATTTTAAAATTTTACTTTTAAGGAAACTGCAGCTTCAAGGTACAAAGTTACCCATTGTTACAATGTCCTCTAAACCCGTAGGCCTGTTTTCTTCCAGGCTTCTTAAGTCTCTGAGATACAAATATGCCTGCAAACTCGACCCGTGCTCCTCTTTCCATACTATAAATCTGTAAATTCCAGATTTCCAGCCTTGAGGAAACAGCACTATTAATTGGGTACCCATCTCTGAAAATCCAACACATGCAAATAAATGGTATGCATTTAACCTGGCTGACTAGTGGGTAACTGGGATTTACTAGGAACACATACCCAGAATAGATCGTCTGTCCTGAGGTTGCCAAACTCACCTAAACACCCCTAAACCCAAGTGATAACACATCTCACCCTTGAGCGTGCACACTCCTTTGAGTGTGCACTTTTTTGATTTTTCTGAATAACTCTATTTATGCCTCTCACTGACTTGTCCTATAATTCTTTTGTGTGGTGAGCCAAGTCTACTCCACGGAGGTTTGGCAAGGGCTGAGCTAAGGTCCCCATCCCTTTTTGTGGGACTGCCTAGGAACAGTTTTCAAATTACTACAACCAGTTATTATTTAGAAGAAGCCAGAATTCTTTGCACCAAGTAAAATGTAACAGACCAAAGGAACCTAAGACTCTTTTAGACACGTGGGTAACTGGAACATCCTATCTTCCATCTTCACGTCTATGTGTGGGCACACACTCAGAGCCCACCAGTGAGGAAACACAAGTCAGAACCTTAAAGCATTATTTTTAAAAGGTGCTAATTCCTGCCATTATATATCCTAATTTCTTTGGTATACTGCATGACCCTGAAGGGCTATTTGATATAATTATAAAAGGAATGTATATACATTCATTTCCTTTTTTTTTTTTTTTTTT